AAAATAAAAACCTTTTACAAAGTGATAATGATACTGTATTCCTTAGTGAAGATTTCCAACAATATTTAGATTCACAAGGAACAAAACAAAGATTAACAGTACATCATACTCTACAACAGAACAGAATAACAGAACAAACACATAAAACTATATTTAGAGGTGTAAGAGCATATCTAACATCTACTGAATTACTGTTTACATTATGGGCCAAAGTAGCAATTCATATTACCTATATTCATAATAGAACACTATGTGCTGCTTTAAATTATAATACCCCACATTACAAACGTTACAGAACACACAGAACAATTGATAATATATACAAATTTGGTTAATATATTATCATTTGCAACGAAAATCCTACAAAAATACAACAGTGAGGTATCATTGCTTGTTGGATAGGATTAGACAATGAAAGTAAAGGCCATAAAACTTGGCACAATAATAAAATTACCATTAAACAAAATATTCAATTTCTCAAAGGTAAACCTCCTCAAATTGAAGGGGAGAAAATAGACAATACAAACAATGATACAAACAAGTGTTTAATAATTAAAAATAACAAAACAGACAATAGAATAACAAGAACAGACAACAATGATACAGACAATGCTGATCCTAACAAAAAAGGAAAAGTAGCAGAACCAACAGACTTAACAGACAACAAAGTTAAATTAACTGAAAAAGAAGTAGAACCTAAATTACATTGATTGGAACAAAAACAGAAACTGACAGAATGTGCTATCAAGCTTGAACAATGTATGGAGAATAAACACATAACAAAACACATGTATGCACTTAGCAAAAAGGATGAAGATAATATTACCATTCATTTAATGGAATTTAATGCTAAAATAAGTGAAATACAATCGGATCCGACTTCATTTTATGAAGCAATCCAATGTCTGGATTGTGATTCATGGATTACAGCTATGAAAGACAAAATAAAACAATTAGAAAATCATAATACATGGGAAATCACGAATCCATACAATAATATTAACATCATTAGAACACAATTTGTCTATAAAATAAAGCAATACACTAATAATAGTATAGAAAAATATAAAGCACAATTAGTAGTTCAAGGAAACTATCAGATTGACAGCCTTGACTATCATACAGACAATTTATTTGCTCCTACTGCTAGACTATCTACAGTGTAATTAATATTAGCATGGGCAGCATCTAATAATTATGAAATACATTAGATAGATATAAAATCAGCATATCTGTATGGACAATTGACAGAAGACAAGGAAATATATGTTAAACCTCCTCCAGGTAACTTAATAGACAGATTACAGAATGGACAAATATTACAATTACAAAAAGTGCTATACAGATTAAAACAAGCTGGTAGAAGATGGTATAAAACACTATCTAATATACTATTTAAATGCAGATTAACAAAATCCAAACATAATAACACTGTATTCTTTGCAAAGAAGAAAGAAATAACTGTAGCCATATTATTTGTACATGTTGACAATATTACTATTGTAGTAATGAATAATAATACTATTGTAATGATAAAACAATCTATTGTACGTCATTTACAATATACAGACAGTAGTGAATTACACTGGCTACTTGGTATAGAGATTCAACATGACAGAGAGCATAGATTCATCAGGATGTGTCAGACACATTATATTAATAGTATAATAGAACGTTACAAACTTACAAACGAACAAAGTGTACAAACACCCATGCAGCCTGGTACACAATTAAAAACAGTATTGCAAACCAATAACAATAGAAAACAAATGTCTGATATACTATACATGAACATGGTTGGCACACTTAGATACATTACAGACTGTACATGGCCAGATATAGCATTTGTAACAAATCAGTTAGCAAAATACCTTAATGACCCTGGTATGGAGCATTATCTAGCACTTAAACATTGTTACATGTACTTAAAAACTACAAGCAATGTCTGGCTCCAACTTGGTGGCACAAATCAATCAATATTGAACAGCTATACAGACACAGACAGTATGATGCAAGAAGGGCATTGTGCAATATCAGGATATACATTTTACTTGAGCAATTCATTAGTTTCATGGTCAAGTAAAAGACAAACACTGGTGGCAAATTCAATGTATGAAGCTGAATTAATAGCTCTTGTAAGAGGAACACAGGAAGCAATCACACTTATGCATTTAGCTGAAGAGATTCTGCAGGTCTCTGATGCACCAATTAATATCTTTTGCAATAACAATGCTGTTATACAAACAGTTACATTGGACAAACTCAAATATTCAGAACAAACAAAGCATTTAGATCATAAGAAAGATTTTATTAAATGCTACA